ATACCTTAGCAGTGAATGTATTTATACCACAAACATTGTGATGTTAGGGTATGTCATCTTCATCAGTGTGTGGATGAAGCAAGCCATGAAGATCACTGACAACTTCAGTGCAGCTTTGAGAACAAGGACTATGGCTGTGGCTATGGGGGTGAGACAGGCTGTGTCAGCCTGGGCTAGGTTCAGTCTAGACCTACAAATGGAGGTGACAAAGAGACTCACAGGCGCACTGTCATGGTCTGTGGCTGATCAGGGGAGCCTGGCGTCTGTTAATAATGTACAAATGCTGTGGTATTAAAAGAGCATCTAACAGGGGAAGGCGACGTAGTTTGGGGAGTCAAAGAGAGATTCCTGGAGGAGATGACGTCTGAGCTGCAACTCAAAGGCTAAAGTTACTTAGAGGAGGATGGTGGGTGAAATGGGAAGACCGTTCTAGCAGGGGGAATAGTGTGTACAAAGTCCCTGTGGCCAGAGAGAGCTTGGAGTTTTGAGAAACTGAGGGAAGCCTTATATGGCTGCAGCACAGGCAGCCTGTGTTCTCCTGTCCTCATTGATACCAGCCTCCATGAGTGGGCTGATCAGGGGTCATCGGTGTGTGCTGCCCCTCAGGGAGGGGCTCAGGAAGGTGGTGGGAGTGTAAGCTGAGGGTGGGTCATTAGAGAGTATGGTAGGTACGCTACGTTGGCTTCCTCAAACTTGCTTTACCTTCCTTGGAAAGTTCACCACATTTCCTAGATGCCCTTATAGCTAGTGTTCCACATGCAAATTAGGCTCTGTCCGTTAGATGCAGGTGTGCAAGATTCGGAGCCGGGAGGTATGGCAGAGGCCTTCTTCCTGCCCCTTTAAGCTGTTTTCTGATGCAAAACAAGGTCAGAGAAATGCAAGCCATGTTGCAAAGACCATTCTATATCTTTCTGCCTGGGAAGAGATAATTATGGTGGCAATAGCAGCAGCAGCAGTGGTGGCCTCAGAAGTCAAAGGTTTCCCAGTGGGTTAGTTCCATTTGCCTGGGAGTCATTCCTGGAGGAGAGCATACAGCAACTCATCTAGCCCTTCCACTCACGCGGTGAGTACCTGGTTCCCTGTATTCAGTCCTTTCCTGTTAAAATGCTGCAGAGGATGCTCTTAGTGCTCCACCCCGCTACGCTTCCCATACTCTTAGCCCACCTGGGCTCACCGGCAACTGTGCTAGACAGTTCCCAGCTCTCCTCCTGAAGTGCAGGAGCCAATCCCATTCCCTGGTTGAAAGCTTTTTCCAGCACCCAGAATTTACTCTGAAATGTGGGGACAGTTTAGAAGGGGGAGATGCTAACATCCCGGGGCAACTTTCAGCCAAAGGGGGAGGGAATTGGTGGGTGAGTGCTCAGCTTTCTGTTCCAGTGAGACAATTTTGGGACATGTTCCACCTAATTTCTCGAGTGAGCCATGCCCCAATCTCAAAGTCAGATTGAGCCCCCATTGCCCACAATGATAACACATTCATGATTACCTTAGTTGATTTTTCTCCCATCCTGCCTCACTTTCCCTACTTTTTCCCTTGCATGGAGTTACCTCCAAATAAAACCACCTGCACCTCGACCCTTAATCCAGTATCTGCTTTGGTGTGAACTGAAACTAAGGCAAGTAAACACCTATAGTGGTTTCTATTTTCTGTGTTTCAAATCTGACTAGGAAAAAGAAGCAAAAAAGGCTGATTTACAGACACAGGTATGGATGCTTTTTAACCCAGTCAAACCAGGAAACCACATTACTATGTTTTGAATTTAGATCCCCAAGCTTTCTGCCTCCTTGTAACGTTACTGGTTTCCTAACACATAACATTAAAATAAACCACTAAAGTTGCCTCCCCATGCACACATCAATCAATCCATCCATTCATTCATCTACTAGTCAGCAATCATTTCTCAAACCTCTGCTTGTGCCCAGCATTGTGCCAGGAGCTGGAGATAGGAACCAGTAAGATAGATCTCCTGCCTGGAAGCTACTCATGCCGTGATTAATCCCATGGCTCAAGAGGTTCTGTCATTTCCAGTGCTACTCCAATTTCGGCACATAATGCCGTTGGCGTGGCCATGTAAACTCAACACTAATGCCAACCAGTAGCCTTGTCTTATAAACATACTAATCCAAGCATTTTCATCTACCCTGAAAAGTGTCTTCCATATTCAAACTGTATCTCTATTTTATGAAAATGCACTGTATTGAGATACTGCTTCTAAGGAACTAAATTTAGTTTGAGAAACTGCTCTGAACTTTGGAGTCATTAAATGTAGTCTTTTAGTGCGTGCACATATGACAGAGAAAAATTACAGTCAGCAGCGTCTATATTGAAAATCCTGCATTAGATTGCCATCAGTTGCTAATAATACATCATAATTATTCTTATAGGGTTAAGCTTTTCTCTTTCCTCTTCCACCTGCCTTGCTGAGATAACCTCTAAGGATGTCCTAGAGGACGGTAGGGCTGGAATTCAAAAGCTTTCATGACAGCTGAGCTCTCCATGCAATTCATTATATTGGAAAGATGAGGAGAGGGGGTTGTCAGCAAAGATAATGGCCATGCAATTTCCAGTCCATTCTCCTTGCAGCCAGATCTTGGAGGCAGCTCATGGACCAATTTCATCAAGCAGACCCTGCTCATCTCTCATCCATCTATATTGGGAAAGAGGTTCTGTCTGGCTCAAGCAGGAGCAGGCTGGTGGCAGGGGGTGGTGTGGGGGAATGGGATAGGGGACGTGTCTGGGGAAATAGATCAGGGCTCTTTCCCAGAGTTCTTGGTCCAGGGGTTCTTGGGTATGGTTCTGGCTAATATCAGTGTTAAGGGGCTTAATCCAGAGGGTTGGCCAGGAACTGGAAGTTAACCCCCAGCCCAGGATACAGTTCTGTACATTCTGTGTATTCCCAGCTTTGAGCCTGGTGCCAGACAGAGCAGACACTCAATAAATGTTGTCTGACTGAATGTGCAGGAGACTGAGATAGCACAGATGTGGGATCACTTGCAGCAATGAAAGCAGCCATGCATGGTTCCCATGGGAAGTGAAAGTTGTGCTTTTCTCCAGTTCCTGCCTAGGGAACAAACTTCTCTGTAGGAAAATTCTAGTATGGTGGCAGCATCAATACTGGATAATCTGTTGAGAGAAAGATCTGTTTGGCAGGCTTCCCCAGTACCACCTTTGCAGGGACTAAAGGCTTCATGAGACTAGGAGTGCTACTCTTGCTGAATCTATCAATACAGGATAGGACCTATCAGACTAAATTCTGCGTGGCCCCCAAAGGAAGTGAAGTTGGGTTTTAGACACAAAGGAGGTGGCTCCTTCTGACTGGAAGGTGGCAAATGTCACACATGCTGGGGCTCCTGTGCAGGTTTTCATTCACACTTTCAAGGCTGTTTCATTTTCCTTCCCAGCCTTGCTACCGTTCTTCCTTTATGTCCCTTTCTATTTGTCACTCAGCGTGCCCTTGGCAGATTCTCAAGGTTATGGTCACTGCAGAAACAATGGTCTTGCCTGATTACAGTAAGGAAAGGGAAACAGTAAAAAAAATTACAGAAGGTAGCATGACAGAATTAGAAGAATTATTAAATTACATGCCTGTAATTCTAGCACTTTGGGAGGCTGAGGTGGGAGGATCGCTTGAACTCAGGAGTTTGAGACCAACACAGGCAACATAGTGAGAACCCATCTCTACAAACAATTTTTCTAATAAATTAGTGTGTTGTGGTGGTGCATGCCTGTAGTCCCAGCTATGCCGGTGGCTGAAGTGGGAAGATATCTTGATCCTGGGAGGTTAAGGCTGCAATGAGCTACGATTGTGCTACTGTACTTCAGCCTGGGGCACAGAACAAGACCTTGTCTCAAAAAACAACAAAAATAATTATTAATTAAATTACAAGTATTTGAAATATTCTTGCAGCCCACCTCCCTCAAAGAAAGATAATTTAGGCCAGGCATGGTGGCTCACACCTGTAATCTCAGCACGTTGGGAGGCTGAGGCGGATGGATGGCTTGAGGTTAGGAGTTCAAGACTAGCCTGGCCAACATGGCAAAACCTTGTCTCTACTAAAAATATAAAAATTAGCATTGCATTGATTCATTATTTTTATATGTTAAATTGATGTATTCCTGAAATAAACCCCACTTAGTCATAATGTGTTACTCCTTTTATATACTGATAAAATTTTGTTAAGGATCTTTGTGTCTATATTCATGAGGGATATTAGTCTGTGATGGTCTTTTCTTATGATGTCTTTGTTTTAGCAACAAGTTTATATAAACTCCATAAAAATAATTTAGTAAATATTCCTCCTTCTTCTATTTTATGGAATAATTTTTGTAAGAGTGATATTATTTCTTCCTTAAATATTTTTTCCATGAAGAAAATTTACCAGGGAAGCCATCTGGGCCTGCAGTTTTCTTTGTGGGAAGGTTTTCAATTACAACTTCATTTTTTGGGACAGATATATGGCTCTTCAGATTTTCTATTTTTTATGTCAGTTTTGATAAGTTGTATTTTACAAGGAATGTGTCCATTTAATCTAAAAAGTAAAAATTTGACACAAGGTTATTAATATTATTACCTTATTATCCTTTTAGTGTACATAGGATCTGTGGTAATGCCTTTTTCATTTGTAATATTGGTAATTTTCTCTTTTTTTCTTTATTATCTTTGCTAGGTTGATTAATTTTATTAATCTAGTCAGAGAATCAGCTTTTGGTCTTACTGATATTCTCTCTTTTTCATGTGTTTTCTGTTTCATCAATTTCTACTTCTAATTTTCTTCTATTTACTTATTTGCACTTTTGCTCTTATTTTTCTAGCTTCTAAAATTGAAGGCTCAGATTATTATTTGAAATCTTTCTTCTAGACTATAAGCAGTTAGGTATATAAATTTCTAAGACTGCTTCAGCTATATACCATAGATTTTGACAGGTGGTGTTTTCATTATTATCCATTAGAACTATTTTCAGTTTCTCTTGTGATTTCTTTTTTTTTTTTTTCTGGCTGAGCACAGGGGACTTTATTGATGGTACATGGCAAGGTGGGGCTCCCTAGGCCCTTCCCTCTTCAAGGGGTCTGCACGGAAACTGTGAGGAGGAGCAATTCGGTGTGGTGGGGGACTCAGTGTGGCAGGGACTCCCCAGCAGTGAGGGCCTCTCTTCCTCTCATGCTCTCGCTGGGGCTTGTGGTCCAGGGGTCTTACTCCTTGGAGGCCATGTGGGACATGAGGTCCACCACCCTGTTGCTGTAGCCAAATTCATTGTCATACCAGGAAATGAGCTTGACAAAGTGGTTGTTGAGGGCACTGCCAGCCCCAGCATCGAAGGTGGAAGAGTGGGTGTCGCTGTTAAAGTCAGAGGACGCTACCTGGTGCTCAGTGAAGTCCAGAATGTCCTTGAGGGAGCCCTCCAACACCTGCTTCACCACCTTCTTGATGTTGTCATATTTGGCAGGTTTTTCCAGACGGCAGATCAGGTCCACCACTGACGCGTCAGCAGTGGGGACGTGGAAGGCCATGCCAGTAAGCTTCCCATTCAGCTCAGGGATGATCTTGCCCATGGCCTTGGCAGCACCAGTAGAGGCAGGGATGATGTTCTGGAGAGCTCCGTGGCCATCACACCACAGTTTCCGGAGGGGCCATCCACAGTCCTCTGGGTGGCAGTGATGGCGTGGACTGTGGTCATGAGTCCTTCCATGATACCAAAGTTGTCATGGATGACCTTGGGACCTTGGCCAGGGGCTCTAAGCAGTTGGTGGTGCAGGAGGCATTGCTGACGATCTTGAGGCTGTTGTCATACTTCTCATGGTTCATACCCATCATGATCATGGGGGCATCAGCAGAGGGGGCAAAGATGATGACCACCATGTACTCAGTGCCAGCATCGCCCCACTTGATTTTGGAGGGATCTTGCTCCTGGAAGATGGAGATGGGATTTCCATTGATGACAAGCTTCCCATTCTCAGCCTTGACGGTACCATGGAATTTGCCATAGGTGGAATCATACTGGAACATGTAGACCATTAACATGAGGTCAATGAAGGGATCATTGATGGTGACAATACCCACTTTACCAGAGTTAAAATCAGCCCTGGTGACCAGACGCCCAATACGACCAAATCCGTTGACTCCGAACTTCACCTTCCCCATGGTGTCTCAGGGATGCAGCTGGTGATGGGAGACAAGATGCAGCTGTCAGCAGGAGGAGCAGAGAGCCCTCTTGTGATTTCTTTATTGACCTATGGATTGCTTAGAAGAGTATTGCTTAGTTTCTAAATATTTAAGAATATTCTACATTTAAAAATTATTGATTTCTAATTTACATTTGACTAGGAAATCATATAATTTACTTTGTTCATTTAACATTTTTTCAGTCTCGAATCATGGCTTAGTATATTTTGTAAATGACAATTAGGCCAAGTTGATTAATAGTGTTATTTAGATTTTATATGTTTCTACTGATATTTTGTCTACCTATTCTATGAATTTTGGAGAATATGATGTGAAAATATCCTTTTATACTTTTAGATTTGTCTATTTCTCCCTTTTAGTTCTGTTAATTTCTGCCATATGCATTTTGAAATTATTAGGTACATATGCATTGAGATTGTTATGACTTTTTTTAATCATTAATTCTACCTTTAACTCTGGTAATATTTTTATTATAAAATCTACTTCATCTAATATTATTATAGCCACTTAAGCATCTTTATTAATTTTTACATGGTATATATTTTTCCTATCTTTTTACATTTATATTTGTATTTAAAGTTTATCTCCAGTAGGCAGCATATAGTTTGGTCTTGCTTTTTGTATCTGGTCTGACAGGCTCAACTTTTTAACAGGAGTGTTTAATCCATTTCCATATAATACAATTATTGGTATGGTTGTGTTTAAGTTTACCATTTTAAAAATTTTCCCTTTATGTTCTGTTTTTTGTTCCTTCTTTTCTGTCTTCTTCTGAATTAAGCAAGTATACTTTATATTTTATGTCATATATTCTATTTGGCTTTTAGCTATATCTCTTAATACTTTCATAATGGTTTTACTAGGGGTTATGTATCCTTAATTTATCACAGTTACCTTGAGTTCATGAAAAATGTAAGAACTTTTACTCCCCTCCCATATTTTGTGCTATTGTGGTTATATTTAACTTTTAAATTTGTTATAAATCCCACAATGTATTATTATTTTTCAGTTCTAGAATTTCTATTTGGTTCTTTTTTAACTTTCATTTTTTCCCATTTTTATCTTGAAATTACCTATCTATTCAGCCATTATATTCCTCTTTTCCCACAACTTATTTAACATATTTATAACAGTTGATTTAAATTTCTTGTCTGTCAACTCCAACAATTAGTCTGTGGATCTGCTTTTATTGACTATTGATTTTCCTGATTTGGTTACATGTTCTTGCTTTTTTGCATGTTTCTTTCTTTCTTTTTTTAATTCACCTGGGTGCAGGTGGGCTAAGGCTGAAAAGAGCATGAGCCGCATGTTTCATTATTATTTATTGTGGAGACTGAAGCATAATATATATTTTGTTTGTTTTCCAGAGAGTGCAGACTCCCTCCTCTGTCTTGCAGGGAGGGGTCAATGTTTGACTCAGGGGAGGCTGGATTGCAGTTTCAGGCATTTTCAGTTCACTTTGCATTCAACTCTTCAGGACCCCAAAATTCAATCACCATGAAGTTGAGTGGAACTAAGTGTTTTATCTCTGCTCACCTGCCCTACTTCATGACTCCTTTCTTGGCAAAATTTTTGGCAGGGGGAGAATTGCTTCTCTGGGTAATTTATTTTTGCAATAGATACTCTTCCAGATTCCACCCTGTCCTGCCAGCCCACAATCTGTGATAGCTCCATTTTTCACTAATTGGGCTGAACTGAAGCTATGTTTTCCAGAGTTTCCTTTCCTGTGCTTCTGGAATAGTTCAGGCTGTAAGAGACATTTTGCACAAAACTTGGAAGATAGAAATGAAGCTGCAGCTATATTATTTTATATTCTTAAGGCCAGTGGGAGTACCAGGAATACTAATAGCAGCACCTGCCCCCTAGATTCTCTATCTCCTGGAAGATCCCTTTCATCTTCTCTGAGCTGTGGGTCAACTGCATGTGAACCTCTAAAATAAAGCATGTTAGCTTTTTCAGTAGATGATCCACAGGTTTAACTTTGGAAAGAGTGAGTGACAGATGTGGATTCCAGTTTGCCCTTATGGGTTCCGCTGTCTTCATGGGTCCCAGTGCATCCTTGTGATTCCAGTTTGTCCTTGTCTTTATCCTCATTCAGTTTTCCTTTCTACTGCCAGTCTGACTGACCTCTAGTGATTTTAGGCTGAACAACAGTTGCAGAGGCAACCATTAGTATGGTCTGTTCTACCAGCTCCCAATTTTGAGTAAGGTCATCAAACCTTACTCAATAGAGAATATCCCAGCCAGAGAGAAAGGTCAGGTAACCCACAAAGGGAAGCCCATCAGACTTACAGCAGCTCTCTCAGCAGAAACCCTACAAGCCAGAAGAGAGTGGGGGCCAATATTCAACATCCTTAAAGAACAGAACTTTCAGCCCAGAATTTCATATCCAGCGAAACTAAGCTTCACAACTGAAGGAAAAATAAAATCTTTTATGAACAAGCAAGTACTCAGATTTTATTACCACCAGGCTGGCTTTACAAGAGATTCTGAAAGAAGCATTACACATAGAAAGGAACAACCAGTATTCGCCTTTCTAAAAATATACCAAAAAGTAAAGAGCATCAACGTAAAGAAGATTTTACATCAACGAATGGACAAAACAGCCAGTTAACATCAAATGGCAGTAACCCTAAATTTAAATTGACTAAATCCCCCAATCAAAAGATACAGCCAAAACCCAACGGTATGCTACATCCAGACCCATTTCACATGCAAGGATACACAAAGACTGAAAGCAAAGGGATGGAGAAAGATTTACCAACCAAATGGAGAGCAAAAATAAATAAATAAATAAACAAACAAACAAATAAATAAATAAAAAGCAGGAGTTGCAATTCTCGCATCTGATAAAATAGATTTCAAAGCAACAAAGATATAGTGGTCAAAGGATCAATGCAACAATAAGAGCTAACGATCCTAACACCCAGATACATAAGACCTATAAAGAGACTTAGACTCCCTAGACTCCCACACAATAATAGTGGGAGACTTCAACATCAATATTAGATAGATCAACGAGACAGAAAATTAATAAGGATATCCAGGACTTGAACTCAGATCCGGAACAAGTAAACTTAATAAACATTTATAGAGCTCTCCACTTTAAATACACAAAATATACATTCTTGTCAGTACCACATCACACCTACTCATAGGTAAAAAATAAAAAAAGTAGTATAAACAAGGAGATTATTTAAATTCATGGTATATCCAACCACATAACTATTAATTTTTTAAATGTATACAACATATTATTAAATACAAAGAGTGAAATACAACAGAGTTTATACATTAGGATCCCATCTGTTTAAATTAATAGACTTTATTTTTTAGAGCACTTTTAGGTTCACAGAATAAGAGCAGAAAGTAACAAGATTCCATATATCCCTTTCTCTCCCACCACAAGGCAGACACTCTTTCTCTGATTATTAATATATTAACATCTTAAAAAAAAAAAGAGAATATCCCTGGTTCTGTACCAGGGAGTGACCTTGACTGGTACATAGTCAGCTAAGGCTAAGCTGATTCCTCCTCATTGCTGGAAAATCTCTGTCTGTGTAACATGCGCCATGGATCCAAAGCAGCTCCCCATCCCTTCTCAGGTAGGAAAGCTACCATGGCCCTCTGTTCACCTATGAAGGTCTTATTACTTTCTGGAATTCAGTTCATCAAGGCTTGCGTCCTTTACTGTTTGCTAGACTCATAGAAAAGCATAGCTATCGTGTCCATATTTTTCTTGTTTTTACTATAAGATCGAAAGCCTTTTCATTCTTCTACATTTTAATTATTAGCAAAACTCTGGAAATTGTCCTTAAAGGAGGCTGTGTGCCCTCTCATGTGTGCCCTCTCATCCCCTTGTCTCATTTCTGAGGCTGGTAACATACATTGCGACTGGTGCTCCAGCAGCTATCTTAGACCTGGTAACAGAGACTGCTCCGAGGTGTGGTAGAAGAAAGAGTGGAAGGGGTGAGGGAACTATTACACAAACCCCGAATTAATAATTCCCAGACTTCTGATGTGTGAGACTAAGACCTTGAGTGGTGAAGCCACTGATCATTTTAGTTTTCTGATTCGTGCAACAAATGTGTTTTTCATGGATAGAGCCAGTTGCACAGGGATTTTGTGATAGAGACAAACTCTATCTTGTCTATCTTGGTATTCAGGATGAGTAGTAGAAAGGAGAATGATAGAAGCTGGGGGTAATCCAGAAGGCTCTGCATACCACAGGCTAGTTGGGAAGGGAACAGAGGTAAAAATAACTGGTGTAAAGGCCAGGTTGGCCATGGCAGAAGATAGGCTAGGAGGTATATTGAGGAGAGAGTTTCGCAGGAGAGAATGTAAATTATTTTTAGGCAGCCTTGGTATGTACCATGTGATGTAACTTCCCTTTTGCTTCCTAATCGAGAGAACTTCTATATGGACTTGTTTCTTTCCAAAGCATTAAGGAAATGGATTTGGGTTTCTTTTGGATGCATCCCTGGGCTGAGACAGGCCTAGAAAAGGCCCAGTTTTATTTAAGTTCTGGAAAATAATTTGAAGAGAATGCTAGGCTTGAGAATCATTCACTTACTGAGACTCAGTGTTCTCCATCTGAATGCCCCATAGGAGAGGAGTCGTTTCAACAGCCTTAGAGTCATGGAACCTCCATCCTGGGAAGGTCTTGGGCAAACATCCATGCACATTCCCCTGTTTCAGATGAAAGTAATATCTGCCTTGATTGAGACTTGCTTACACTGCCAGTTTTCTCCTTTGGATCAGATTATTAAATGATGGGACTTCCCTCTTGGGCTGCTTGATCCTCCTGGGGACTTGTCTCTTATCAGCCTAGCTGGGAGCTGAAGATCAGCAAACTCTATCTTGTCTATATCTGTGTTTTCCACTAGGGAATTACGCCTTGTGAAGTTGATAGATATGACTCTTATCATTTCTAGTATCTTCATTGAGTGATGAAACTGGAAG